GATACTGCCAAACAGTTTTTTAAATGGTTGTACTCATTTATACTCAGCTAAAACAATGAACCTTAGTTGTTTCATCCGCACCAGCATTTGTTATTTTTTTGTTTTTGTTCTAGTCATACTGACATTCATCTTTTCTAATCTAATTTTAAGCATAAATGTACTTCATGTGTCCTCTTTTTGGTGTGCCTGTTAAGTCTCTTGTCCATTTCTTTATTGTATTATCTGACTTTTTCTTGTTGATTTGTAGGAGTTTTTATATATTACTGGTGAAAGTCCTTTGTCATGTATGTGTATCATAAATATCATCTCGTACTCTATAGCTTGCCTTTTTACTCTCTTAATCGTATCTTTTGGTTTAAATTCTTAATTTTGAGTAGTCCAATTTCATAAAAAAAATTTTCATTTATGTTTAGTGCTTCTTTGTGTCCTGCTAGAAAAATCTTTGCGTGCCTCCAAGATTATAAGTATATTTACCTGTTTTCTTCTGTAAGTGTTATTGTTTTGACATTTGACTATACAATTCACCTGGAATTAATTTTTGTGTATGGGGTGAGGTAGGGGGTTAAGATTCATTATTTTCCATATGGATATCCAATTAACATGCAGTGCTATGTCATCTCCATTATAATCAGTGACTTCCAGGTATGGGTCTATTCTGTTCAATTACAACCAACTTTTTTTTTAATATCAAGTAAAGTGGTGTATGCGTGTCAAGTGCTTAAGGAAATTCTAGAGTTAAGTGAAATTAGTTTATTCAAGATGACCCAGGAAGCAATATTAGGGCACTTATCCTTAAACTGGAAGAAGTTACATATTAATAGTAATAGAGCCAACCTTAGCTGTCAAAATCTCTGACTTTCAAACATACAGAGAGTTCTTTACTTCCAAACTTTTAATTATACATTTTTATCGGTAAATGATGCTTGAACATATACCCCAATGTATGTATATTTATGTTGTATATGTATATCTAGTATACATATATTACTGCATTAATGTTATTGTCATTATCAAACACAAAATTGAAATTTAAAAAGAGATCATAAAATAGAAATTCTGATATTTTCTTTCTGCTCCCCCCCGTATCAGCCAAGATTGTCTAGGTTATGTGCGTTAACCGCTCTCAAATTTCAGTGACTTAAAACAACCGGTTTATTTCTCTCATGCTACATGTCCATTGTGGTTTGGCTTCAACATTCCTGTGTGTTCAACACTGGCACCCAGACTGACAGAGCAGCTACCATCTGGAAGCTAGCTGGTCCCTGGGACAGAGGGAAAGTTAATAGGGAATTAACACTTAAAGCTTTGACCTAGATGAGACACATGGCACTTCTGTTCACATTTCATAAGCCAAAGCAAGTTATGCGTCCTCACCTAATTGCAGAGAAGAAAAATCCTAATCTTGTGCCCAGGAGGAGAAATGGACGTATTGTAGACACCCTAAAAACGATCACCTCTCCTGCAATTGATTTTGGAGAACAAAGCCGTGGATTTGTCTTTGTCTAAGAAAATAAACACACAAAAATGAGTCCATTTGGTTTTTTTCTATTATTTCATTTTGTTTGAAAACCCTACAGTCCTGAGTAATGTATCTACTACAACTACAGGCATAGTGACCTCTCTAATGTCTTCTCGTGGCACTCATTATATAACCCAGACACCTTAGTATAGCCTATAAACCCTCCCTTTCCAGCTTCATCTCATGCCACTCACACTATACCTCAGAGTCCTCAGGCTGGCCTTTCGATTCCTTGAAGGCAGACAGGTGCTATCTACTTCTGTCTTAAATGTTTTTCTTCTCTTTCTCCTTGTTTTTGCCTGGTTATTCTGTACCTTTTAGGTCAAATATTTCAGGGAAGCCCTCTCTGACTCCCAGCGTAGACCAAGTCCTTTCTGTTCTATACTCTCATAATAACCTGTACTTTGCTTCCAGAGAAACTGTTCCATTTGATGAGTATATTTTTGTACTGTTATTTGTTCAATCCATTTCTCCAATTAGAGTGCAAACTTCAAGGGAGTAAGGGTCAAGTCTGTTTTGCTTACCACTATATGCTAATCCTTATTTAGCCCAGTTACTAGCGTGTAATAAAAACTCATTAAATATTGAGTTTGGTTATAGTTTTTTTATATTTTAGGTCTCTTACATTTATGTAGTCTATAGCAGGCATATCTAAGATATTTGTACAGTCCATAGAGAACAAGTTGATAATAAGAAGTAAATCACACAAACTGCAAATACCCGCTTGCTCTATTCCTGTATGTCTTGGGGAGTCTAAGAGATTCCAAGGTGAGAATGCTTTACCTCTTCTCTCTGAATTGAAATATATCCTCATGTAGATTTTTACTTTCTTTAAGTGGTTTTCCTTTTCTCATTTCTTGAATTTTTATATGTTTATGTTGAAAGCCCTATGGTCAAGGGATATATCATATTTAACATAAATGGCAATAAAACTGCCCAAGCAATAAGTGTATTATATAGATATACTGAATAAACAAATAAACTGTGTGATATTAAGCTATATTTTCCTCTAGCTTTCTGAAGATAGTACTAAATTACCAAAATACAGTGTGATCTATTTTTTGTGATACTTTGCATCAACAAAAGGGCATATATGAGATGCTTAGAAAGTGCTTTGCTACAAATTTATGTCCTTCACTATTTGTCTTCATTTATATGTGTTGTGGAAAACTTTGGTCTTTTTTTGTTATTCTTTACTGGGTGCGGTGCGCACCATCTGAGGGATGGACACACTTGAAGCTCTGACTCAGGTGGAGCAAGGGCAATATATGTAATCTAAACATTTGTACCCCCATAATATGCTGAAATTAAAAAAATAAAAAATAAATAAAAAATAATATTTTGAGAATAAAGAAGCAGAATTAAATTGTTAAAAACAAAAAGAAAAACAACTTTTATCACCTTCTTGTCTGTATGTTCCATTGTGGACTATCAGTGCTATTATTCATTTAAAATCCAAATGTTCTAATAATCTCCTACAATGATAATCTTACAGTGGAATTGATAGGATGGTAACAGACATTGTTGTCTTTAAGCCTCTGATAGTAGTGTTCCACATTTTTATTACAGAAGAGAGCCACTGCTCCTCATCAATAAAAAGGTGGGATTAAAAGGAACATGAATAAGGATTATATTTGCAAAGCCTGTTTATTTAACAGTATTGTTAAGTAATAAAGTTTATTAGGTGCAGTCATCCCTCAGTATACAAGGGGGATTGGTTCCAGAATCCTCCCCTCCGCACGCAATATACCAAATCTGCATACTCAAGTCCTGCAGTCGGTCCTGTGGAATCTGCATATACAAAAAGTTGGCCCTTCACATGCATGGGTTTTGCATCCCATGAATACTGTATTTTCTGTTTTCTTTTTTGTTAGAGACAGGGTCTCATTCTGTCGCTCAGGATGGAGTGCAGTGGTGCAATCATAGTTTACTGCAGGCTTGAACTCCTGGGCTCAAACAGTCTTCCCACCTCAGCCTCCCGAATAGCTGGGACTACAGGTGTGCTCTCCACCATGCCAAGCTGATTTTCTTCTTAAAATTTTTTAAGAGATAGGGTCTTGCTATGTTGCTCAGACTGGTCTTGGACTCCTGGCCTCAAGCAATCCTCCCTGTCTCAACCTCTCAAGGAGGTGAGATTAGAGGCACATGCCACTGGCCCAGTAGTGCTGTGTTTTTTTGGGGGTTGTTTTTCTTTTTTTTTTTTGGAGACAGACTCTCGCTCTGTCACCTGGGTTAGAGTGCAGTGGCATCATCATAGCTCACTGCAACCTCAAACTCCCAGGGTCAACTGATCCTCGTGCCCCAGCCTTCCAAGTAGCTGGGACCACTGGTTTTTTTTGGTAGAGACAGGGTCTTGCTTTTGCTCAGGCTGGTCTTGAACTCCTGAGCTCAAGCAATCCTCCCGCCTTAGCCCCCCAGAGTGCTAGGATTATAGGCATGAGCCACCTCTCCTGGCCAATACTGTATTTTTGATCCTCAGTTGGTTGAAAAAAAAAGTCTATGTATAAGTAGATCCATGCAGTTCAAACCTGTGTTGTTCAAAGGTCAACTGTATCTATTTTGTGCCAGAAGCTGGGGAAACTCAGAAGGTGATGGACATTTTCTCTGAAACTTTAAAATTTTGTTTCAAACAATAACATTTTGGTAAGAGCTAAGTTTATCTTTTGCTAGCACTGTCAGTTTTCTCAACCTAAAATGAGGATGATAAAATACTCATCTCATAAAGTTCTTATGAGGAGTAAATAAGATAGTACATTGAAAGCACTATCCCAACATCTGGCTCATAATAAGCACTTGGTATACGTGTACTGTTATTTACTGTGAGGTTTCATTCACAGTTAATCTCTTAACTGTTTATTTTCCTCTATTTCTCCTTTGTTATTTTTCTCCATATTGTCATCAGAGCTAAATTTCTAAAACACAGATCTGATTGTGTAACACTACCTCTTCAATACCATCTTCTCAACTTTAAAAACCATTAGTGGTTTCCAAGAAAGCCTCAAATGCATGGATGGCATTTAGCATCTTACCATCTGACCCTAACCTTCCTTACCAAACAATCTTCTGCCTTGACCACCCACTCACTGGGTTACAGCCTAAATAGGCCACACACAGTTATATTTTGCTGTCTTGGCTTGTGCTCTCCCTTCTGCCTAGAATCCCTGCTGTAGGCTTCGCCCCATGTTGTCACCCTCAACCCGAAGGAACAATTGTCTACGAGCAACTCAAAGATTCCTCCTATATTTTTAGGCAGAATTTTTTGGTTCCTGTTTACTCATCTCTCTTTAGCATTTATTATGATATTAAAGTTAATTACATATGTCTTTCTCTCTTGCTAGCTTGTGAGTTCCTTCAGAGCAGAAGCCATAACTTATCATTATATTGCTAGAAGTTAGTAGATACCCCTTAAAAACTTGTTGAAATAATGTATTAAGATCTGGTTTGATTTTGTCTTGATTTCAGTGTGTTTTTATTATTCTAGGTTCTTGGCCTTGTCCAAAACATGAGTGTTTTCCAGTGTCCAAAATGTAAACACAAAACTCATATTTTTGGTGCTGATGGTGCAAGGAAACTAGCGCGGACCCTTGGTCTTGATGTTCTAGGTAAGACCGTAGGATGTTCTTTTGTAGAGGAAGTGGCAGAAAGGAAAGTGGGAATGAGGTGTGGTGATTAAAAATGTCTCAGAAAATGATGAGTTGCTTTTGGCTTTGTATTTTAAATTAAGTTAATATAGCGCAATTCTATGTGCTTACCTTTTTTTGGCTTTTTGAATAGGCTTTGTTTTGCCAACTATGATAATTTCTTCTGTAGATAAAAATTGCTCATAACTTAAATCTGAGAAGAGAGTTTTGTGGTCTGAGCACTGTGATTTGAAGCCATATTTTGAATGATGGTCATCAGTTTGTTTACTTAGTTAAGCATACATCTTTCAGTATAAACAGATATACATGAAAATACCTGTTCAATATGTTGTGGCAACCTCTGGAAGTGTCAGTTCTTGGTGCATATGTAAAAATGCATTCCTGATTGGTTCTGTATTTGTTAGTCTTTCTGCTTTAGAATGACAATATTTACTATTTTCTGTAATCTTTTTATGTGTTTGACATGTCTATAAAATATGGCACCTAAAACTCACGTTGTATATACTGTTCACAGCACTGAATTGAAGAATTAATTAATGCTGTGAGGAAAACTAAAATCATGTGTTAAGTGAATAAAACACAGATTTTGGATAAAACATGATTTTTCAAAAACCCACAAGCAACTTAATAGACTTTTTAGAAAACATGTTTTGATATTCTAATTGTGAATGAGTTTCTGTTCTTGGCAAAGGCAGATGTTAGATGCTGAATAAGGGAGGCATAGAGTGAATTATTAGTTTTAGGTAGTTAAAAATTAAGATCTCCTAGAGATCAAGGAATTTCAAAACATTCTCTGTTATAATTAAGTTTCTAAAAGTTGATGTTAAATATATTATTGTTATGCATTTGCACTATAGCAGCCACTACAATACCAGGTGAATACAAATGATATATTTTGATCCATTGCTATAATTATAGCCAGTAATTATATTCTGCAACTGTTTTTCATTTAACTAACCTAGAAAGTTCAATTTTGCAAATCTGCATAATAACATAACAGATTGACCTTCACTTATATAATAAAGTAAATGTGTAATTATAATGGCATTATTGAATTAAGCTTACAACCTTGTAATTTCCCAACTTGTAAATGGGCAGTACAATTTTGTAAGTCAGTTATTTACAATTTGAAACATCTCATAAAGAAACAATCTCACATATGGAAGTTATATTTTATTCAACAACTCACACATGTTCAATTACCCTAAAAATGTATCAGAAACACTGATGTATCACAAAAACTGGATAGTGCTGTAGACTGTTGTGTTTAACAGTGTTATGGCAGTTTCCATAACATAGAGTTCCAACTCAGGACACATCTCCTCCTTTTAATGTAGTCAGGGGGTTTCAAAGCAGTCTCCCATGAAGTGGAAATTGGGAATGAGGAACTGAAGTCAGGGAAAGGACTTTCTCAGCTATAGCCTCCTGGCTGGTTGAACCCCCCGGGAACCCTTATTTTCCTTTTATGACTCACTGGCAGACTCTTTATTTTCATTTATTGGGTTGTGTTTTAAATGATTTGACACAATAGCTCCTCAGAACTGTATCCATATTTATCTATAGGGACAGTATATGCATAATAGTTAAAGTCTTAGACCATCTCACAGAAAACCTTTTAACCCATTATGTATCTGAAATGGGCCCTCACTTCTTTCAGATCTAGTCCCTCAAAGGTATTCTTCACGCCAGGCTGCTCCTCACTCCCTCTCCATGCCTTTACTCCTTTTTATCCCTCTCTAGACACAACCATTAGTCCATTGCCATTCTTATGCCACCTATTTTTTAGTAAGATTTTTCTCTTTCCTAGTCTACTCTTCTACGTCTATAGGTAGGATTGTGAGTCTCCGGAGGGCAGAAATGTTGTCAATCGGTGGCAATATAAAGGAGAAGATTTTACTTTACCCTTCCATTTCTGCAGTAGAAAAGAAATTATTCAGAATTCCTTATCATAATGGCAATTCATAAATCAAGAGAAAAAACTTTATGGATTTCTAAGCATTTTGTAAAACTTATTTTTCTCTGCCTGCCCCTGTGACAGTTTCCTACAGTCTTAAGTTGATCTGTAGAATAGACATCATATTTACTGAAAGACTAACTTTTAAATGGCTACTGAAATATCCACATATTTTATCATTTGGCCATTAGACATTAAGGAAAGACTCAGCTGATTAAGATCGCAAAAGTTGCCGACAGGAGGAACATGAAATACAAATTCCTCTTCCATGTACTTCATAATATAAAGTATGTTATAACATATACTTCTGCGTTATTTACATTGCCTGGCATGGTGCTGAATTACTTGTTTGAATAAAGCACACACGTGTCGATAACCTTTGCATGGATTCGGAGTGGTTCTGAGAGTGCCAAGTCAGCTGTTTTACTTAAGACTTCATTTACTGCATTTTAAATCTCAGCCTTTGAAAGACTTTATTCGCAATGGCGTGGTAGAAACAGTATATTGGATGATGCGTCAGAGCATATTGCTCCTAAATTCTACCACCTAATAGTAATATGTCCTCAGGAAAGACATACAACCTCTTCAACTCCAGTCTGTATGTTCGGGGTTCTTATTATATACCCACTGACACCTCACCAAACTCACAAGTTATATATAATGCTACATAGGTTAGTAAATAATAAGAGAAAAATAATTCTATCTGATAAAGAGGCAGATAGTTACGATAACACGTCTGGTCTACTTTTCAACAGTTCTCTGAGTTCATTCATCTGCCGACATCAGGAAAATTATTTTGTGGTACTTTTGTGTATTACTTTGCCTCTCCATCTTTTCCTCTTCAATTTTCTCTTGTTATTTGGCATGATGTCTCCATATCAGATTTTACAGGGAGAAATCACTTACAAATGTCTTCCAAGCCATTCCTTGCTGGAAGACCTCCAGCAAAGAGTAAATCATCCCTTCCTTGGCTGCCATGTGGCTTTCATATTATACATATAACAATCACCATACTACCCTCAAATGGAATATTTTGCCCCTAATTTTCATTTGAATTTTTTAAGAGATTTAGCAATTTGAAGATAGTCATAACTTGAGTTTATTTGAATCACTTCAGTTCAGATTTTGTTTCTTTCCGAAGTTCAAATAATGAGATTCTAAATGTCTATATAAACTTTTCTGATACTGATGGATATCTGGTGGGCTCTTTTAGGAGACATTCCTTTACACCTTAATATAAGGGAAGCTTCAGATACAGGCCAGCCAATTGTGTTTTCACAGCCTGAAAGTGATGAGGTAAGTTACGTTTCTAGGTATGTATTTTTATTTCTTTTTTTAGGATATATACTTTTTGATATACAGAAAAAAATGTTGGAAAGATTAAGCTTATCTCTTTGCAGTGCATTTATATAAACAAGGATTGGTTAACTCGTGCAAAGCATCTTTAAGTTACTATTTTATGTGGTAAGCTGCCAGCGCTGGCTCTGAACTATCAGCTGAACAAGCTTACCTACAGACAATCATCACCCAACCAGTTTTTTCATGAAGATCATGAACAATGGGAATTTGAGAAATTCTTGTCTTGCTGGCTAGCAATATCTAACTGCCCAAGGTTATTGTATTTCAGTACTAAAAGTTCAGCTAATTGTTGGGAGAAGGGAATCTATTGAGTTGGATATAAAGTGATTGTATAAACCAGTAGAGATGGGATTGTCATTGCATTTATTTTAATAAATACAACTGGGGAAGAAGGGTAGAAAGACTAGTAGTGTTTCATTAGGCAATATCATTAGGGATATAGCTGATAGATTTTCAAGGTTGCTAAAACATAAAATCTTTTATTTTAATCTTTTTTGATAGAAATAAAATCAATCATATATATCTCTTCTTTCCTAAATAGCACTTGCTATTTAACTTAAAAACTGAATTGTCTTTTGGTACATCAGTTTTGATGTAGTTTTTGTGTTCCTTTGTTAGACAGCCTCAATCAATCTTCTAATAGCTTTTCTTTTTTCCATAACTAAATGGGCATAACTTCATAGCACTGTTGTTTTGTCCATCCATAACTACTGTCCCTTTTATTCTAGTTTGTTTCCTCTAATCTTCTGTGAAAGTATTTTCTCTTCCAGAAAATAAAAGAGCCAAGCTTGCTTAGTACTACGAGTAAGAGAAAATTAATAGCCAGGAATCTTGGATAAGGAAAGTAGATTGATTTTCAGTTATCTCTTTCAGGAGCCCAGAGGTCCTTTACCTTTCTTAAGGATTGAAGTTATGGTACAGGTGATTGAGTTGCTGACAGTATGATCTCTGAGTAAATGCAGTATAGCAGTTACCATTGTTTTTCTTTTATCTGCCTTTTAGGTATTAAATGTTAAGGTTCCTTTTCAGTCTTTCTTAGAAATCTTTCAGATAAGCAAAAACCATAATCCTTTATCACTTACATAATTAAAGTCTGTTAATCTCAATTACGATAGGTATGCTTTACTTTATACCATAAATGAAAAAGTTGTATGATGTAGAAGGGCTGTTAAAAATGTAAATCTTGGTTGCATTATTTGTGGAGGCTCAAACTTGTGAAGGTTAAATACCATAATTTTTCCATTTGTTCTGCATTTTGATTCTGAAAAGAAAGCTGGCTTTGCCCATTTCTTATTAAAAAAACTTGTTGTAAAAAAAAAAAAAGAAAAAGTTGTATGAAAATTGAGGGTTTTTTTTTAATTACACACTTTTAAATGCCTCCTAAGAACAGACTATTTAAAGATATTCCATGGTGATTCCTAGTGAATAAGAGAATAAGAATAATTATTATTTGTTATTTGTTAGTTTATTTCAATTATGAGTTTAGATGTTTAATATTTTTTCAACCTTCATTATTGTTTTTCTTTGAAATTCTGCAAAAGTACAAAACATTTCAATAAAGTTATAGTAATGCAATATAACAGAGACCATATAGCAACCATCCAAAAATAAATATGATTTAAAACTCTAAACAACAGTGTTTGTTGAGTTTTTTGGAATTATGTTTTTATAATCTGGTCAACATTCATGTAAGTATCAGATCAATTATTTTACCATTGCTGGGTGACATTTATGAGAGTCTTAGGATAGCCTAAACTTGTGGTTTGGGCTAGATCTGATTTGTTGATGTCACTATGTACACATCATCAGTCTTAAATATGAAGATTTCTGATCAATTTTAAGATTTAGAAATGGCCATGAAAAGGGGGAAAAAAAGATGCCTTGTATTTTTTTCCATTTAATTTAACATTTATTTTCATTTTATATCCAGATATCACATTTTCTACATTAAAATATAATTATGCTGACTCCCCCCACCCCCTAGACCCTCAGAGAAAAAAGCGAAGAACTTTACACAACTTGAAAGATGCAATGCACAGAGCAGGGAAGTTGCTGTTGCACTCAAGTCCAAGTATCAAAGAAGACAAAGATACCAAACAGCAGACATGGCAGAACTGCATAGTAGATAGCTCAAGGCTCGCATCAGGGAGGAGCAGAAATTAATAAAACTCTAAAACTTTTAAATGAAATCACTTGTGCCACAAGATTACCCTGAAAAGGTAGAGACAGGGCAGAAAGCAGAACCAAGTCAGGAATTTTCCAAAAGCTGCTCTCTAACATAGAGTTTAAAATATCCACAAAGAGCTTTCACTTCCCACCTTGCCTTCGGCATATGGTAAACACTTTAGAAACTTAAACCACTGTTAGCACGACAGAATGTAAAATGGATATAGGTTTTCCTTTCTTCTTCTTTATTGTACCCCAAGCAACAATTCTATTAGCTATTTTAATCACATGATTCCTCTGCATGGAAACCCAGTAAGTATTGCCAAGATGAGCCACCTCGTATTTGTTTTCTTTCCATGGAAGATATTACTTCCTACTCGTAGATTGTAGACATTCATTATTATTAATCATCTTCCTGATAATAATAGCATTTACTGTGTGCCAGACACTGTCAGGCATTTTATTAGCATTATTTCTGTTCTCACAGCAACTTAACGTAATATATATTAATAGATAGTCCCCATGTTACAGATGAGGAAACTGAGCCTCAAGGAAGTTAAATAATTTTCCCAAGATCACAGAGCTATTAAATGGTAAGATAGGATTAAAAGACAAGTCTGGTCCTTCCAAATGTTTGCTTCTTTCCATCATATCACCTTCTTGGTCCTATACAAATAGTTATGATTTCTTTAATTCCTTCTGAGAGATTGGTGCAGTGCTTAGGTACATTGAATACATTACCTTATTTGATTCTTATAGCATCTTTGTGTGATCGGTATAACAGTCAGTATTTTTTCAAAGAAGCAGAAATTTAATGTAAAAGAAGTTCCTTCATTTACGTTAAGGAACTTGCCCAAGTAGTACTAGAGGCTAGTTCTACACCCAGCTAGTTCCACACCACAGCCCATGTATTCTCTTGCCAATGCAATATCTGCTTCACTTACTAATGAATTACAAGATTAGTATATAATCTGTATATATGTGTCTGTGGTATATAAATGCTAGCTTTCAGTTCAACTTCTTTTCATAACATCACAGAGATTTAGAGAAAAAGGTAAGGAGACTCTGCTGCTCAAGTTCCATTGGCATGCACAACTGTAGGGCATAATACACAGGATCTTAACCTGGGTCTGAGAATCCCCTGAAATTACACCCAGAATGTGTGAAAGTGCAAATGCACTTTCTGAGTAATTGGCCAAGAGCTTTGTTAGATTCTCTAACAGGGATTCTGCATGAAGGAAAAGCATGAAATCTGAGTCAGTATGGGGTTTCCTTACCAAGTTTGCCACTTCCTATGTGAGACCTTAAGCAAGTTTCCTAGCCTCTCTGAACCTTTCTCTCCATATATAAATCGATTTCATAATGAGGAGGATTAAATGAGATAATAATGTGAAAATACTTTGAAAAATTCCAGGTAGAATACAACTGTGTTTATTGCCTTCTGCAACTTCCTGTATAAGATATTAGGACACTAAAGGTCTACCCTCTTCCCTTTATTAAAGGACTGAGTGCACGTGTACCCTTGGCATAGCATCAAGTAAATATCACTCTTTAATGGCATTTTAAAAATCAGGGTAGCAGAATTTGAATCATGACATGAGAATAGAATTCCCAGTTTCAACGTTAAAGACATTAACTGCTAGACATTAGAAAGCTGTGATTGAGTCCTAGAATCTGGATCCTTCTGATTAGTCTTGTCCTGAATCTTGCCTTCTGATAACTCTCTTCCCTTTCCCCCTGTGAACTCAAATGGAAATGTGCTCTTAGAAACTAGTCTCAGCTCTCAGCAGATCCTGTTGTATTCTTAGAAGCTTAATTCCCATTCTACCTGTATGTAGAATGAAGAAATTCATTTAAGGAATGAAGGAAGTGTTTATTTGCCAACATGATAAAACTTCTGCAAAAGTTAATGGGATGGAAACTTGCAATATTAGTTGTTAATCATTAACACTTTAGACTGGCAATTTTTATTGTTTGCTTTTAGAGGTTAACCCACAGGCAAAATTATTATTCAGTAAATGTTTGTATCTTTAGCTTTTTGTCTTCTTACTCCACTTTCTCTTCGCCATATTCCATCACTCCTTCCTCCAAACACCAGGTGTCAGGGCTCTCACTCTCTGCCCATAAAATCCTTTAAAATTAGGCACCAGGGATTCACCTTTCCTGGTAACATTTAACTTTCAGAAGAGGCAAAACTAAAAAGTTAATGATTAAAGGTATGAATTGTGGTGAATTTAAGGTATCATTGGAAAAGTTGAAAAGACTTGTGGTACCAATTAAAAAGCACTAACAGACTGCTGCCTCCTCAGCCAATGGGCAGAACCTTCTGTACGTGTGCACCACTTAGGAAAAGAAAGTAACTGAAACTCTAAATGTGAATAATGTAAAATAGCTGGAGAAAGCAATAGAGAAAGGAAGAGAAGGTGATACCTAGAATTCAGAACTCTTGAATTCAATAGCATTGCCTCATGCTGGTGTGATTAAAATTGTTGATTTGACTAAAATTACCTTTCACCCTTGATTGAGACCAGGACACAAGGAATGGACCTATGATTAACTAATAATTTTGTGATTTTTATCCTTTTCTCAAAGAAAAATATTAGCTACAGAAAGATGTGCTATAAAATATTCCTGGTAAAGACTTTCAAGTAAAAGTGGAAACTTTATCACCTTATAATTTCTAAATTATCAACTCAGAGTCTTATTATGGAATGGCTGTGTATGATAAATTAGAACTTAAAATATTCAAAAACAAAGACAAAGGAAAACTCTCCATGAAATTTGTTGGACTTGGTTCCATTCATTCCCTGTTGCTTGTTAATGACGGTGCAGACAAATGGGGTCCAGCTGTATTATTTGTGCCTCTAGAGGGCCCAACGAAAAGATCTACAGTAGGAGAGGGGGGTAGAGTCAAGTTGATGAAAGAATAGAGTATCAATAGTTTGAGAAATCTCAATTATATCTTTTACGTATGATGCATGTGTGTTACCTTTTTGCTAGTTATGGATCAAACAAAAGAGAGGGATTTAATTTAATTATTCCTGAAGTGGGAAAAGTGCCCTAAGGACATGTTCATATGAGCTCTTCAGTGAGACTATAAATTTCTTGAGGGCATAATAATAATAGCTGCAGCTACTAATATTTATTTATTTGTGTATTTATTTATTTAACGCCCTCTCAACCCAGCTTTTCTTGACTCCAGGAAGAACTGGGAAGAGAAGGCCGCTACTAATATTTATTATTTCCTTCCTCTGTACCAGCATTTCACATGCCTTATTCTCACTTAATACTCCCCCAAATCCTTTGAGGTACATACTGTTATTATAACCATTTTACAGATGTGGAAACTAAGCCTGGAAAGGTGAAGTAACTTGCCCAAGGCCTTACCACTAATAATTAATGAAGCCAAGATTCTCTAAACCATGCCTGTCTGACTACAAGGCCCCAACTCTTCACCAGTGAGCTATTCTGCCCCCTTTTTATATCATTACAACCCACAAATTTCCCAACACAATGCCTTGCATGCAATAAGAACCAAAATATATTTGTTGAAGTGATACTGCATAAGTTGTTCAGAAACTGAAACTGTTAATCTAAAGCACTTTTAGTGGTTTCTCAGCAAATGACAAATCTAACCATTACTTTGAATGTGATACATTGAATGTCTAAGCTTGGAGGTAGTCCATTAAAAAGCAAAGGTTCAATGTTGCAATTTTGATTATTCTGGAATCATTCAGTATTTTTTTTATTCTGATAGGTTTGTGTCTCTAATGTAGATAAGTACTAAAATATTACAGAATTATGGCCTTGTCTCAGCTTGCTTTAGTGAACTTTTAATTTTCAACGCAAAATATTAGGCATAAATAACTAGACAAGCTACTAGGAGATAAAAGGTATTTATAAAGATACATGGGTGAAAATCAGCACATTAGATTTGAGAGAAATATTTCTTTAAAAGTACAAGTTATTTCCATTTTTAAACAAAAACTATTGTTTCTGTTAATGTAGCAGAGATTGAAACTATTTTTAGACTATGCATTAATGATTATAATTACTTGTGTTTTGGGTTTATTGTTTAATATGTGGTATAGTGTAGGGGTCTCCAACCTATGGTGAGTTGTATAATTATTTCATTATATATTACAATGTAATAATAATAGAAATAATGTACACAATAAGTATAATGCAATTGAGTCATCCAGAAACCATCTCTATCTCCCTGGTCCCTGAAAAAATTGTCTTCCATGAAAACGGTCCCTGTTGCCAAAATGGTTGGGGACCACTGGCACGTGGAAAGAGCTGGACTTTAGAGTCAGTTGTATCCAGGTTTGAATGTTTTCCCGCCTCATTTCATGACCTTGAGCAAACAACTCCCAGTTTTATCATCCAAGTTGAGCTGATGATGGTTGTTTTATGTAATTGAGATTATACATACAAAGTACTTGGCATAGTGGATACTCAATAAAAAATTTAATGCCTCATTCATGTTTTGAGAGTTTTTTTTATTTTAAAGGACTCTCTTTAATACTTTTCTGGTAAAATAAAACGTGATTCAGCTGTTAGGGCTCAAACATAGTCATTAAAAATGAAGATGTGTAAAATACACTTGAAGCACTGTATCAAGTCAGGGCAAACAGAAGATCCTAAACATCTCTTTTTACTGTACAGAGTCTAGGAGTTGGTCAGCCTGGGTTCAAAGCCCAGCTTATCTCCTACTGGCTGTAATGGTTTGGACAAGATTCTTGACCTTTTTGGGTCTAGGTTTCCTCATCTATAAAGTGGGGATAATAACAGAATTCACCCCGTATGGTAATTGTAAGGACAATGAAATAATACTTGGCAAATATTAAGTACTCAGTAAATTTTAGTTAGTAGTAGTAGTAGTGTATACATATGTATAACTAAGTATTGATAAATATAGAAATTAATGGTTTTAGAAAATCTTACTATTGTATTTTTCTTTCTTTTTTTTTTTTTTTTTTTTTTTTTGGAGACCGAGTCTCGCTTTGTTGCCCGGGCTAGAGTGGGTGCCGTGGCGTCAGCCTAGCTCACAGCAACCTCAAACTCCTGGGCTCAAGCGATCCTCCTGCCTCAGCCTCCCGAGTAGCTGGGACTACAGGCATGCGCCACCATGCCCGGCTAATTTTTTTTTCTATATATTTTTAGTTGTCTGATTAATTTCTTTGTATTTTTAGTAGAGACGGGGTCTCGCTCTTGCTCAGGCTGGTTTCGAACTCCTGAGCTCAAACAATCCGCCCTCCTCGGCCTCCCAGAGAGCTAGGATTACAGGTGTGAGCCACCGCGCCCAGCCATTACTATTGTGTTTTATAGTTACTTTTTATAAATAAGGTAGGGGAAATAAGTAATATTTGCATTGCAATTATTTAAAAGAACTCTTAAAATACAAATACCATGACCATTGTTCTAACTAAAACATGTGGGTATTAGGTTAGTTTGTGGAGTACTCTGTGGCTTAGGAGCTGCTTTTAGTGTTCCATGGCACTGGGGATCTGATAAATGAACCAGGGATTCTTGTATGATACCCAATATTTGCCAGGTGAAAGAGCCTAGGTGTTCAATGCTAGTATTGCACACTGTTCTCAGAGAGATGAAGAAAATGCTTTCCAAATATAAACCATAGAGTAGTCATAAATAGTCCTCCTTAAAATGACTAACAGCTCTTATGCCAAAGAAGTTTTGGCAGTATCTAAGGATATCAGTTTGTCAGAGGAGGAAGGTGTAATTTTTCTGCAACTAGACTGAGTTGCTAGTTTGCTGACACCAGGATTAGAGTTTGAAAAACAGTAATTGCTGGTACTAAATATTATTTCAGAAAGTCACTTTCCAAATAATTACCCTTCAAATCTAAAATCCTTTCTTCCCTGCCCCACTTGCAATGTACATAGCGTTATCTTCTCATTACTGAATTTCCTCATCTCACCCTTTTTACTATCAAATCCAGTAGGCATCTATGGCAAACAGTACATGAGTCATTCTTTGTCTGCTGAAGAAAAATACAGAACAAATGAGTCTATTCTTTTCCAGGCCAAAGCTTACCTGAGGATTGCGGTAGAAGTGGTAAGAAGGTTGCCACCACCTCCAGAATGATTCCCCAAGTGTCCTGGAAATCTGCCTGGTACTGATAATAAGAGGATCTTTGGAAATCAGCAGTGTGGTAGTGGAACCTACAGAAATAGTAGCAATCATAATTGTTTTCTTTTATTTCTAAGGAAGTAATGTCTTGTTTTAGATTTGATTTGATAAGCTATGACTCACAAATTTTTATGTTTCAGTGCTGAGTGTATTTAGGAATTTCTTTGAAAGATGATGTGTACCAACTATGCAGAATTGCATTTTATTTTTATTGAATTACCCCTTGAGGAATCATGAGTTCATGATTTTGCAAGCCCCGATTGGACAGAACTGTACTCTTTTTGCCGGACCACAGAGTTAGTCATTTAAAAGGTTTATTAAATTTGCGTATGGACATAAAAGTGTGACACCTCCCCACCAGGCACTTTGGTCTGGCTTTCAATCCTGTCTTTAGTCCTATCTCGGACATATTCTTAATATGGATGAGCCTCTGCTTCTTCATCTGGATCAGACTGTATCCCAGACTTAATGAACCTGAATCTCCAGAGGTGGGGCCTGGACATGTATGTTTTTAATAAGATCATGATGATGGTGATGATGATTCTGATTATCATGGCAAAAATAATAATAGCTAACTTTTATCATGTGCTTTCTATATGTCCTTATAGTTAATCTTCCATTTTTAGGAGTGGGGTACTATTGTTATGTCCATTTACAGATGAGGAAACTAAGGCATAAGAAGGTTAAATGTCTTGCTGAGGATTACTTTATCTAGCAAATGATGGAGCCTGGGATTTGAACTTGAGTAGTTGGATACTGGATTCCTCCTTTTATACACCAGTGTGCATTTGTTAATTATAAAGGGGAGGATATAGTATGTAACATTTCCTCAAACTTATTTGGCTGTGAAATCCACTCCCCCTTTTTAGAAGCATTTCATGGAGTTCATGTTTCAAAGAATACACTTTGAAAAACATGTATCTTGTCTAATTGAAGCTGAGAGAGTCAAGGACTTTGCAAGTTCAGGTAGTAGATGGTTATAAAGCTGCAAGTACTGATAAGGGTGAGTCACTAGTTAATTGTCAGAAGGAAGTAGTCTCTCACCTTTGGCAAATGCCTTGACATCCTTTGCTCTATAGTTATCAGCCAGAACATTAGACAAAAAGTTGCACATCATTATAAACATATTTTCACCCAAAAACCTGTAAATGGATGTTTATAGCAGCTTTATGTGTAATAACGAAAAACAACTCAGACTTTCTTCAATGGGTGAATAGTTAAACAAACTGTGGTATATCCATGCCATGAAATACTACTCAGTAATAAAAAAGAAGAAACTATGGATACATAGTTCAGCAACGACCTGAATGAATTCCAGAGAATCATGCAGAGTGAAAAAGCCAATTTCAAAAGGCTATGTACCTACCATATGATTCCATTTATATAACATTCTTGAGATGACAAAATTATAGAAATGGAGAACAGATTAGTGGTATAGCTGTGTTAAAGAAGGTAGGAGTGAGGATGGGGATGGGGAATTGGGTGTAGCTATGACAGCAACATGAGGAATCCTTATGATAATGGCAATGTTCCATATCATGACTTTCTCTATGTCAATATCTTAGTTATGATATTGTACTATAGTTTTGCAAGATGTTACCATTGGGGGAAATTGGATAAAGGGCACACGGAATCTCTCTGTATTATTTCTTACAACTGCATGTAAATCTACAATTAACTCAAAATAAAAATAAAAGTTTTAAAAGACATGTATTGCTATATCTGAACTGAAATTTCTGGTACAAAATTATATATACTGATTAATATCATGAATAAAATTCTTTGTGGACACACAATAATCATCACTCATCACTCTGAGAAGGAAGTAATGGCTTACAGTTGCAGATATGTATTTGTGTTTTTATTATTTATTTAGGAGGGGGGAAATACAGATGATCACTAAGCACTTTTGATACCAAAAAGCAAGTACTTCAACCAAACTTAACTTTATCCAGAAAAAGAATGATTTATAAGCTCCAGAGGTGCTTAAAGTTGTGCGTCATAGTTTAATACATCTCATGGGGAAATGGAAAAAGATAGTCTTTACTCATAAATACATGACTTAGAGAAGATCCACATATATAATTCCTTGCCTCCTTCTTCTTCACTACAGATATTTCAAGGAAAGCTACTGGGGGAAAAAAAATGGTTGGAGAATACATGCACATTCAGAAGTAGGGGAAGGAAAAGTAGCTCTGAAGGCAAGAACTAAACTTATTCTAAAATTTTGCCTATTGTAGTCTTTGTTAAGCTTCAAAGAGCTGACTTTTAAGATAGACTCCCAAGCATAGGTAGTCTGCCTGTTGTTAAAGGGATAATATTTATTCCTCATTCTTCACATTTCCATAGAGTGTAGAGAATTTCTATTCTATCCAAGAGGGAAAGGTAAGCTCCCTCACTCACTCCATTCCAGGAAAGGAGGGATGGGAAAATTTCTTCCTAAAACCCTCTGCATTTCTTTGATTTAAGCCAAATCCCAAGTTTTCTGAGGCAGGCTACAGGTAAAAGTTAAGTTGTCTCTCTCTGCCTTGCACTTCAGCGGGAAAGTCCGTCTAATTTAGGGTTAGAGTATTTACTCGCCCATTGTGGTCATATATCCTTTAATCCAGCTTTTGTAAGTAATAAAGCTGATATTTTTGCCTTTATCTGAATTCTTTGTCTCTCAGTTCCAAACAAAGGAAGAATCCCCCTATCCTTTCCCCCACTCCACTTCCAGGAAACCCAAAATACCTTTATGGAGTCCTAGAAAATTAAAACTGAAGAATATATTAGAGTTCAGATAGTCCCCACCACTACATTTAAAGCATGTCTAATAAAAAGTAAGATCATCAATGACCAAAAGCTTTGTTAGGGGGAACGGTTACTGTGAAGTATAATAAATACACAGAAAAGCACAGAAGACATAAATGTGTAGCTTAATTATTCACAAAGTATATACCCATGTAACTATTAACCAAGTTAAGAAGTAGAACACTGTCAGCATCCCAAAAGCCCCAATGTTTTCCTTCCTAATCACTAACCCCTCCTTCCCTTACAAAGTTACCCATATACTGATGTTTTAACACTTATACCTGTGTCCTTAAACACTATAATTTTGCCTATTTTTTGAAATTCATATTAAATGGAATTATATGGTATGTATTTTTTGTTCTATATTAATTCCTTTTATAATATTTTTGCTCCATATTGACTGCTTTTGCATTATATTATGTTTTTGAGATCCATGTCTGTTGTTGCTTTTAGCTGTGATTTGTTCATGTTCTTTGCTGTAGAATATTCCATGGTTTGGATATATACAACTTATCCATTCTACTGTAGATGGACATTTGGATTGATTCCAATGTTTTGCTATTACAAGTAATGCTGCTTTAAACATTCCTGTACATATCTTCTTGGTGTTCATGCACTTGAATTTCTGTTCAGTTATTTCTAGCAGTGGATTCACTGGTAGTTTGGTAGTATCTCATTGTGTATCTCATTTTAACTTGTGTTTTCCTGATTGTAAATGAGGTTGAGCACTGTTACATATATTTATTGGCTAATTGGATATCCTCTTTTGTGTAGTGCCTAGTCAAATCTCTTGCCTATTTTTCTTTTGTATTGTTGGAATGCTTTATATATTCTTGATAAGAATCTTTCTTCAGTACTATGTGTTACAGATATCTTTTTCCACTCTGCAGCTTGCCTTTCCTTCTCTGAATGATGTCTTTTGATAAACAGAAGTTCTTAATTTTAGTGTTTCAAGTTCACCATACTTTTCCTTTATTATTATTGATTTCTGTGCCATACTCTGAAGTCATGAAGATACGCTTCTGGAGGTACAATTGTTTTGCCTTTTACATTTAGTTCTGTGATCCACCTGGAATTGGTTTTGGTTTTGATTTTGGTTATTGAGTGAGATAGGCTTTAAATTTGTTTGTTTTTTCTTTTTTGTATATCTAATCGTCTCAGTAACACTGGGACTCTCTTTTCCCCCTACTGTTCTATGGTACTGCCTTTGTTGTAAATTAAATGTCTATCTTTTTATGGGTCTGTTTCTGAGCTCTCTGTTCTGTTGGTTTGTTTGTCTTATCTTTGCACCAATAACTCACTGTGTTGTTGTTCTTGTTGTCATCACCTTGTTCCTCAAGAATGTTTTGGCAATCTGTGATTCTTTGCATTTTTATATAAATTTTAGAGCTAGCATGTGAAGTCCAAGAACAAGAACAGTCTACTGGAGAGAATTTCAGTTTTTCTTAGGATGGAAAAGACTGGAAAGAGCATGATACCCACACTTAAAATAATAAAAAACTGTGTGATATACAAAATCATAACTTTCCTAAACCTATACCAGAGAACTGAAGTTATAGTGCAACCAATTAGCCTGACATGTAAAGAAAGACAAGCCCCTCTATGGAGAGACAGGATGCAAGCCCTGCCTCACCTCTGGCAGAGCACAAAAGAAAGAGATGCCAAACTACCTATGAACAAGTAAGAAAAATTTTAACAAATTGCTAAAAGCTGAGTGTGGAATAATAGGAGAATCTAGAATCCCTGGAAGCTGCTAACAGAAGGGGAGTTTTCACCCACCCATTGAGTTTACTCCGTGGACCTCATTGGGTGCCTAAGAGAAGAATTGAGTGCAGGGCAGGGAACTGTAGACAGCCTTCCTTAATGGTACAGATCTGGAGATGGAGAGTAGCTTCCACTCTGAAAAAAACACAAAGCCCTGCCTGGACCCTTCATCCCTGTATAAAAAATATCATAAGTCACAGGGGAAGACAGAAAACCTTGTTTCCTCGGTGAACAAATGAAGACCCATTATGACTTGGAGAGAGGAAAGAGAAAAACCCTCTACTCCTGGAGGAGGAACAGAAAACCATCCTGGCCCCTAGCCATTAAAGATATCCTAAATATGCTAAAGAAAGCCCAGTTACCAAGACCCAAAGATAAGGGCTTGGCTAAGGCTGAGGCTGGACCAGGACAGCAAAGAACCCTGTGCCCCACAGCAAGCTAACAAGCATTGAGCATCAAACAATGGAAGTCTCTCCTGCTGGAGGAGGGGGCAAGAATGTGAATAGACATTAAGAGCTAAGAGTAGAGCAGGAATAGTAAGAAAAAAAATCCTTTGGCAACCCAGCCTTCAACTTAGGTGCAAGGTAATACCAAAGGGATTTGAAATTAGTGGAGTACTAAGGTAATCATAACAACAAACCCTAAATAAGATGAATTCCTGACCAGACTGACTCAGCCTTACACTCTCAATTTCTAGCAGAAGACAATGCATATCCATTTCTAGCCATATATACTATTTTTACCTGTCTTTACTGTCCTACATATGATGCCCAGCATTTAAAAAAAAAAAGATTATAAGGCAAAAAACAGCGGGGGGAAAAAAATTAACCCCCTGTCAAGAGACAAAGCAATCAACAGAATCAGACACAGAGATGACTCAGATGTTGGTACTATCTGGAACCAACTTAGTTGGCACAAATAAGAAATTTTAAATGCCTTGCCTATCATTAATATTTTAAAGGATCTAATGGAAAAGGTGGACAAGCAGATGAGGAATATCAGCAGAGTAATGGAAATCATAGGAACAAGGAAAATTGAAATGCTACAAATAAAAGAAAAACAGTAGTAGAGATAAAGAACGATTTGGGTCTCATCAGTATACTTGACATGGATGAAGAAAGAAGCAATGGACTTGAAGATAGATAGACAAGAACTGCCCAAATTGAGGCACAAAGACTAAAAATTTAAAAACAACAACAACACACAACATGCAAGAGCTGAGCATAAATTGACATCTCATAAAAAGAGAAGGACAATGGGATAGATGAAATATTT